CAATAGCCCGCACCGCTGGCAAGGAGTCGGCTCTCCGTACGTCCGCACCGCCAACCTCGGCTTAGCGCCAACAATCACAGCATTGAACGCGTGCCAATATCACACCTAGAGAAGGAACCGAGCTGACATGAGCGAACAGACTCTGAGAACCGCGCCGAGGAGGTCGAGAAGAAGAAGCAGGAGCAGCTCAACAAGAAGAAGGACGGCAAGCAACACTGGGAGGAGCAGCTTGCCAGTGACAGCGAGAGCGCTGTAAGTTGGATCTGCCCCATCAGGAAGATGGAAGAACAGGAATTTGAGGGCATTGGCTAACGGAGTATAGGTCAAGGCGGATCGTTCCGAGACTGGCAAGGACACCAAGCAACAGATCAAGGAGCTCCAGGAGGAGACTAAGAAGGTCGGCCAGTAAACGAATCACATACGACACACGAGCTCGATATACGAGACTCCCTTACGGGCTAAAAGAGGACGCCGGGCGCCATATCAAACTGGCTCGTACTAGGACGGCAGCGGCGGAAGGGAAAATGGGATCATAGCATGATGAGCTATCTGCAGTACCCAATTAACACGATTAATTCAGTCACATTTCACGAAACTCTTCATATCTCTGAGGACCGCGCCTCCTCCAAACCTTGTTGCTTCTTCCCACAATAGCTGACCTCCTGTCACAGACCGCCTTGTAGCGATACGCCCCACTGTAATGCCAACCATGACCCACCGTCTTCCTTCAGACGCGTAACACAACATGTGAAAGCCGGATACTATCAACGAAATCACATAGAACGTGCCATATTGTCGAAGACCATCAAGGAATCAAACGTGCGGTATCGCCCATTCGACATGGTATCCAGAGCGCATCCAATCTACCAACCCCACAACCCCACCGCACCATCCACCATACCACCCCCCCTCTAAACCCTACACAACCTCCCACTATCAAGATCATACTCCCACCCCTCCGTCCCCACCCCCGCCAACACAAACAAACTCCCACTCGGATCATACCTCCCCTTCACCTCCACTAACCTCTCATACCCATCCCCATAAAACACATTCTGGAACCCCTCAACATACGGATTCGCCTCATTCATATACGCCCCCGAACCCGGCGCCCACTCCTCCCACATCGGCTCTTTGACAGCGGCATGCCACGCCGCTCCTATGCTCAACGCGCGCTTCGCACTCCCCGCGGCACGCGAATCAATAGTAGCGCCCGTGGCGATGAAATGAAGGTACGCGGTGCGCCAGCTGGGGTGTAAGGCACCCCAGTGTTTGGAGGGGGTGGAGTGTACGCCGGGGCCGCCTGAGAGGCCGATGGTGGCGTAGTTTCCTGGGTCTGTGGTGTTTCGACTCGCCATTGCGGTTTTCAAATATGAGACGACTTGTGAGTGGGGAGTGTGGATGAGTTCGGCGCGGCCGAGGAGACGGGAGGATGTGAGGGATTCGCCGCCGGCGACGTTGTCGCCGGATATGGTGGTGAAGAAGGAGGGGTAGGTGGGGTGGGTTGATGTCGACATTGAAGTTGAGACGAGAGAGCTGTCGTTGCCGGTGGTGCTTGTATTGGTGCTGGACTGAAGGAGGAGGTTTGTCAAGATGGGTTGCACAAGCGCTTCGACAGCCGCGGGCGTGGTGTTGAACGCCCAGAAGACTTGGTTGAGACCGATACCAGTGAACGGGCCGTTTGAAACGTCGATATCAGGGAGGAACTTCGGTGCCGTGCTTCCCACTGCTACGGTTGCGGCGCCTGCAAGGCCGGCGTCCATGAGATCGGGTAGCGCACTGAGCCAGGTGGCTACTGCCGACCACGACGCTTCCATACTGGCGTTCGTGCTACCTTTGGGTTTGATCTGGACACTCGCCATGACGACGTTACGCGGAGCTGGGTAGTGCTTGATCACGTACTCGGTCACAACGCCATATTGTCCTGCACCGCCGCCGCGCAGTGCCCAGAAGAGATCTTCGTTCTGGACTTCGTTGGCGATGAGCACATGTCCGGTGGTGGTAACAACGGTCATTTGGAGAACCTGGCTTGATGCCAGACCGTAGGTGGAAGCCAACGGGCCATGACCACCGCCTTGGATGTAGCCTCCCAAACCCACACTGGGGTCCTGGCCTGTCGTCACGACCCGGCCTTGACTTGTCGCGAAGGAGAGAACGTTACCCCATTGCTGGCCGCTACCAACGATGAAGACGTCTTCTGCGGGCGAAGAGCTGTTGGCGACACGCCAGGCTGTGTTGCGAGCCAAGCCGCGGAAGTTGCGCGTCCAAATTGACAGCGAGAAAGCGCCGCTTGATCTGTCGAGGTAATGTCAGCTTCCTATCATCCACATGTCCAACACAAGAAATGCGTACCGTCCATTAAGATCATGACCCGTCCCCTTAACCACAATCCTCACATTCCTCTCCACAGCCCACTTCATCGCAGCCGCCACATCAACCTCCTCCGTCGCATTAACAATATACTGCGGCAACCCCCCAATCGTACAGCCCTGCTTCTCCGACCAACTCCCCACTTCATCTGGCAAACAAGAGTTATTCGCATAGAGCTGGTAGTCGATCGACTCAGGCTGTTGCGAATGCCAGGTTCCGTTCGACCAGTTGTCGTTGACTTCTTGGCAGGAGAGAGGGGAGGCGAAGGTGTTGTTGGTGGAGGGCCAGCAGGAGGATGCGACGGGGACGGTGCGGAGTAGGGATCCGTGGATTGTGGTGTTTAGGGTGGACCATTCTGGGGGTGTGGGCCAGGATGCGTCGGATGGGGTTGTGCGGCAGAATGGTGCGGGTGGTGTTGCGGCTGCGCTTGCGAGGGCGGGTGATGCGAGGGTGAGGTAGCGCAACATGATCAACAGGAGAGGAATGACAGTGAGTAATTGATGGAACGACTCGGTATTCGTACGTCGGCGACATATTTATACGTCGTTGGGATGCATTCAACTTTCGTTCTTCGTGTTACCTTTCTTTCTCGTATTCTCTCTCTTATCGTATTGAGCGGCTCTTGCGGACTTCGCCACAGTGGGTGTACCAGAGCGCGCCACGGAAGCCGCGTCTTCGATCTAGTGTTTCTTTGTAATGCCCTTGCGTTAGTCAAGAGGATAACTGGATACCCTAGAGCCTACGTTACCATCAGATCATATATTTTGTGAAATCTTGTCTTGACGTAGGCTCCATACCTATTCGATGTTTTATCTTTGTGAGGTGCTCTGAGAATACAGAGGACCGCAACAGTACGGAAATCTAAGCCTTTGGACACGCTGATACCGATAAGACGTTCACACGAGGGAGACTTTGGAGTATTGATGATCATTGCTTCATCTTAAAGGCTTGGAGGCTATCTAGTAGCTCAAGCAGTGTTGGTATGGAACTGAGTGTGTGCACTGGCTGTGTGCTCACTGCCCTTGACATCAGGATGTCTTTCCCACCTTCCCAGCGATGCTCATCAGCTCAGCGACCCAATCGAAGAAGATCTAAAAGTAAGCCAAGTCGAGTGCAGCTAGTTCAAGACTCTTGCTGCGAGTCGCGGTGGTCCCGTTAGCCAGTCGGCCTCTTCTCTTAGTTCCGCCATCGAATGGATTAGAGATATCTTCTCTCATTCTCAGCCTCTCTAGCCTCTCTAGCCTCTCTGTCCTCGCGGCGCTCCTGAACCTTTATAGGTACTTGATCACGGCCCTTTCTCTTCTGCTCTGTAATAGAACCGCTCAGTTAGTTCTCGCGCTTTTCGTCTTCGGCCACCGTGCTTACCGATGATTTTACCCAGCCGCTGTGTAAGTTCTATCATGAGAGCATCCAATCCGTCCGCGAAAGTCTTATTCTTGCCGACCGAGATGAGAAGTTCCCAGTCTCCTGCTCGACAATAATCCGATGGGACACTGACGATAAGGTGCGTTTCGTAATAAGGCTCTTTGGAGGTGTCGGTCGTGCTGTGGATGATGTCGAAATGTGAACCAAAACGAGAACGCTCGGCATATAGAACACGAGCATGTACTGCGGGTTAGTCACAAGTTAGTAAAAAGTACGATGTGACCGAAGAATAGCATTACGCACGCAGGATCTCTGCCTTCATCTCTTTCTCGCACATGACGGATTCGGGTCTGGGCCAGGCACTAGCTTTTGTCTCTGACATTGTGTATTCTACGACTTGTTGTGTTGGTGGTAATTTATTTTTTGGAGTAAGACTTTTAAAGAAATTGGAGCTGCTGCGCGAAAGGTTTCTTATATACTTAGGTACCGCCGTACTGTGCAAATTTTATTGCTTTCCCTCTTGTTCGACTCACAGTTGTGTGCGATGCTATATCTTGGATGCTATCCACTTTACCCAACGGTACCTAGGTACTGCGATAACGTAGAGCAAGCGAGCCACTCACAACTCCCGCAATGTATCACTGCTACATGCGCAAAAGTGCACCTCAATGAAATAAGAGAGATTGCGATTATCAGACTCTTCTTGTCTATATGGTTACCATGGTACTTCACAAGACGCAATCCCGGGCCCACCTCCACCTTCAGCATTCGATTAGTCCACATTCGGCAATGCCAAGAGCGCAGCAGTACGACAGCAGTGCCACTTTAAGCGTCTCTTCAGATTGATCTTGGCCGCCGGTTTTCTCGAAGTTGTCAAACATTCCGGATGTTGTCGCGCAGGGTTTTGGTCTTAGCGTGGGAGTATGAGAGAGTCAGAGCGAGAAGCAGACAATCAGGAGTAGAGGGTCTATTGCGAACTATGTGTGAGCCGAAGCGCTGACATACATCTCACATTCACCTTCGTTTTGACCCTACCAAAGTCGTATTTGCCAGTGCGGTAACCCGTTGCCTTGCTCTCTATGATTGCCGGCGAAGTGACTCAATGCATGTATCCTTCTATCAGTCGACTGACAGCTTAGCCGCAAGCCGCTGGATTCAGCGCTGATTACTTGTCAGTGCTGATGTCGTCCTTCTTTAACTTCTCTGTCTCCTCTGTCTTCTCTGACGACTATCAGCGAGCAGTTCTCTCAAATCATCGCAATCTTCTACTTACCCATGGAAGCCATAGTCTCGACCATCATGTTACGTAGCTCCCCCAGAAGATCTTGGTAACCTCGCTGAAGGGTGGAGCCAGTTCCTTTTTCGTCTATGCGCCGCGACTTTAGAACTGGAGTCCACTCGTTCGATACAGCTTTTCCAGGCCTGAAGGCAGCAATGTCTGGCATTGGATAAACGATGAGCCATACGACAAGGTTCTTGCCTGTAGATATCTTGCTGCTGTAAATGACATCGAATGTGGAGCCATGGGGGTATTTAGGACCGTAGATGGCACGAGCCTGTGCTGTTGACTACATTAGCTGGATGGACAGAGAGACGTTGGGTGCGCTCAGACGTACACAGTATGCGCGCAACAAGCGCCTCTTCGTGCATGACTTGACTGTGATCTCCCATCTTCGCTGAAGGGGACAGGCGTTTCGAACCTATCGTAAGAAAGAGGAAGTAGACAGCAGAGAACGGATCTGGTTATAGTCATTTTGTGTGCCAAGAAGCGATACCCATCTTTCACGTGTATTCACATTACTCAAGCTGTTTTACATGTGTCAAGCCAATTTCCTTCCTCATAGCTTTACATGACTACTACTGAGCAAACATAACGCACAGATCCTCTTACAGACGAATCCAAAACCTTGTTCCAGTGTCAAAAAGTCCATTGCTGTTGGCTCGTTGGTGCTAGTCTGGCTTCTACCCGTCTACCTTTCGTCAGTAACTGAGTTTCCTTTATCATTATGATTCTCTGCTTACGCACGACTACATGGATCTGAAGGCGCAGATGCCGAAGGATAGCTTCGTAGCTACTCTGTACGTTTGGGTGTTCCACGGATGCCATGACCACAGTGCACTTGCCGGGCACAACTTCGCCTGCTACAAATGGCTCAGTTTCGGGGTGAACGACGACATGAGACCTGAAACGAGTGTGGTTCTCAATGCTACTATTAACGACATCGAATACAGAACCGGCAGGGTATCCGGGACCGTAAACCACGCGTGCGTGAGCTGTTGGACTGCATTAGCATGAACGTAGTCGCGACAGTAAATTAATCTTGCGACTTCTCTCATTTGTGAGAGTAATGTGGTCACGATCAAGCTTACAGATAATGATGGCTTTGAGCGCCTCTTCTTCCACTGCTGCGGAGGTCATGTTTGCTGTTGTCGCGCGAGGATTTGGAGTAGATGTTAGGTTTCGAGTTGGGATCAGGGATGCAAGAGTGCAGGACTGAGCAAGGAGCGGAAAGCAGAGTATTTATCGTAGCATACGTGCACCAAGACAGTTTGCGGTCCTTCCTTCTCCTTCACTTGAGCAGGGCTGTTTTGCCTTTGCTAAACTGTAATGGCGTGACCGCAAATAGCAAAGCCCAGACCGAAAACGTAAAGGTCTCCAGACCCTGTAAACAGACGGTGACTTCTCGGGCGATCTTCACATCTTGATGAACTCTAGTAGCCCATATGCTAAGGATCATATTACTCATCGCCTTGTTCGTACTTCTCGGTCGCGACGGCAGTCTGATCGATTTGACCTGGGATCATTCGTCAGTGGACTGATCTTATATGCAATGTCATGATGTCTCTCCACTTACGCATCACATCGGCCATCTGGTTACGCAGAGTGTAGATGAGCTTCTCGTACGCGGCTTGCAAGTTGATCTTTCGGTATGTCCGCAGAACAGGCTTCCATTGGCGGCCGAAGGACGGGGCAGAGGGGCCGGGGTAGACAACGACCCAGGCGACGTATCCAGTCGCCTGGTCGGGACCCCCCTTCTCTTCGGAAGTGACAACGTCGAAAGTGCAGTCCGCGGACTATTTTGGGCCGTAGATTGCTCCAGCCTGGGCTATACATGATGTCAGATGTGTGAGGAAGTCGTAGTCAGATGAAGACTTACAGATGATGGTGGCTCTCATGTTCTCCTCGAACTGCATCTGGGTCTTTTTCTCGTCGGTAGCCATGTTTGCTGGTGCTGCGGGAAGATCTGGAGTTGAGTGTAGGAGTCTAGGGGACGAGAGCAAAGCTTGCTATTAGAGAGCATGCTCCTTCTAGCAAAATTAATGCTATCTTAATTGCTAAGTCGCGCAGAATCGCTGCTAGGCTTTCCAAGTGGACATGAAAAGGGACGTAAACATCTCATTGCGAGGCCCCGGTCTTTGCTGCTGCCGATTATGTACGCGAAACATTATGTCTCGAGATTTCTCATCGGCATGGAGCCTCTGAATGAGCTCACGCGAATCTTCTGCCGATATGTGTGCAAAACTCTTCGAGCACAATATCGCGTCCAGAATTCCCACAGTTTCAAACTTTGCAGCGCTTTCAATCGCCCCGTCTTCTTCAAGCATTTCATCATCAGCCATAATGAACTCATCTTCTATGAGTGCTAATGATACATGTTTGTTGCGTGTGCGTATAGCTTGTGTTAATGGTTTTGGTTTGGACCCGAGGAGCACGTGTCGAAGCTCTTGGGATGTTGGTTGCGTTGTACACCCCGGGAAGAAGTGATACTTGCACAGATCCCTTAGTACCTTGGGAACGTTGCCTTGAATCCCTTCTACTGCGGCGGGGTAGTCCTGAAAGAGGGGGCGGTACATGTTTAATAGGTACTTGATCGATTCTTCGTGACCAAGGTGGATCGCCCGGAGGAGCACATTGGGAAGCAAGCGGTACATGTCGATTGCCAGTTTACCGCTCCAGTCCCCCTCAAGGCTCAGGTTGTTGAGAAGATCGGTTATGTCAGTATTCCCAGGGGGTTGGAGCGCAACCCAGGTTATCCCGACTATCCCGGCCGGGGTTTTGAGGCGTACTGTCCCTTGCTTGAGGACCCGAAAGAAGTTTTCTGAGGTACTGCAGAGTAGCATCGGGAGTAAATATAGATACATCAGTATAGATTGCTTCGCCAAGTACTGGAAGGGAAATCGATGAGCGCTGACTTTGGACTGCAACGTGAGATTCTCGGCAAGAACCTTTGTTGCGTCAAATTGCGACTCTTTCATGGACCTCAAAAACCTCAGGGCGACACTCTGGACGGACTTGGAGTTGTCTAGTGTTGAGCTGATAATATGAGAAGGCGCTGATCCCAACTGCATTGCGGGAAGGGGGCTCGATAGCTCCGTACCAAAAAGGCCATAGCCAAGGTAGGTTACCATTATCGATGCCGTGAACGTTCGGGCCTCTTCGGGGTCGAGACAAACCCCGCCATTGTGGCCCTCTCGATCTTTTTGTATGAGGTACTGGTTGACGCTCGGGTGTACTGTACGTATCGTGCCGTCTTCTTCGTCCACGGTAATGAGACAGCCGCAAGTTGCCAAAGCCGAATCCACGCTGTTCAGAAGCTTCGAGGGGTCCCAGGTTGTATCGCCAAGTGTGACACTCAGGGCCTCCTGCATTTCTTCCATTGTAAGCGGTCGCATCGTAGATGTGATGATTTTGAATATCTCTGTTTGATAAGTTCGACCAGGTTGCTGCAGCTGGTTCAGTATTTGATTATAGACCTGCGTAAGATTGCGAGGTAAATCAAGAAGTGCTTCGCGAATCTCTTTATCAGTCTTCATCGAGCATAATGACTCAATTTGTAGCGTCGCCCAAAGAAACATGCCTTGCGAGCCCTTCATTAGAGCGTCCCGTATGTCGAATATAAGAGCGGGGTCCCCGAGAACCAGCTTACGGGTTGTCAGACAGCGTTCCAGTTCAGTGTCCACAAACGCTTCAATGTCTTGGGCGTTCTCGGGCTGTAGCGTGACAACAGCAGGGCGGAATATTGGCATATCTGCTAGACTATGAGAGTCCACGCGATGTGATACACATAAATGCACATCCCGAACTGATTGGAGCTCCTTGATCCCGAGTAAGATGTAATTTCTGTCTTTTTCGAGACAGTTGTGTAGTCCATCAAGTACTATCCATATGTGTGTTGACTGAGGAACAACCTCATACAGCAGAGTTACGAACTGTTCCACACTGAATGAGTGTTTGTGTCGCGGGTCCAAAGTAGTCAGGTCCGGTACAGTCTCGAGTATTTGTCGTACCAGTGTGCCAAGGACTCGTTGGCAATTTAGATCCCATGAGTCGTGCTCGCAGAAGTGATAAGCAACTACAGCATCGGTGCCTTCGATATGAGCAACGAGATCGTTGACTATATTCGCCATCATGACAGTCTTACCCGAGCCAATGCTGCCTCTATAGAGAAGCGTAGTTGACGCCTTGCAATCTCTCCAGTCATGATATTCGGTGGTTTGCAAAAAGCTGGTAGTAGTTCCGGTCTTGCGGATTCGCCTCCAGGGTGTCTCATAATCATGTGTTGAGAACATATCGAGGATGCGGAGCCTTTCTGCCAGTTTCCGTTGATGTTCAGTTGCCTTTGCATGTCGTGTTGAAAGAGCTCTGAACGCTGAACTAGTCTGGACTTCCATATCGATTTTCTGAGCCAACAAAAGATCCACTTCCTCTTTTATTGACTTTGCCCAAAGGTTGAGCTCAGCTTGCAACTCTCTCACGTCCGAGTCATTCACCGTATAGCCTAGCTTTGAGAAGGTTGATTTCCGGGCGAACTTCATGATACGATTGCAGAGGTGCACTACCACGATGAAGTATTCGTTGATCTGGGACTGGAGGAGTCTTGACCGGGGGTAAAGAAGTCCCAACGCCTGATATCGTGGAGCTGAGCGACCAACATCCATGAAGATCAGTGAAAGTCTCTCTAAATATGACGAGGAGTTGACCAACGCCTGTCCATAGTCAGCAGTTGAATCCACTCCTTCCAACGCTTCTTGCTCCGAATGACCGAACTCGAATGAGATGAACACGCTTACCAGCAGCGACATGCGGACTAGCGACCATACGCCACATGCGATGATGTTTTGAGATCCTCCAATAATTACGTCACCAAGCGCAGCGAATTGTTGAACGCCATGGAGAAATTCGTGAACCGTGGTCCAAAACATCGACTGCCAGCCTTTTGAGCTCTGTCAATATCTGCAGTGACCCGCATGACACTGTTGGGGCCGGGAGGCGATTCGAGCGCTTTCGATCGATCTGTTCGGAAACTGGCCTTCTCAACCATAGACAGATTGGCTTCGAATTGAGACACCGCTTCGGCGAGACGGATTTCAGGTCTCAGTCTCGCCACGCTAGGGATGATATGAGACATGACGCCGAGGGGTTTGATGCATAGCACCAGTGAAGCGTAAGGCGAGGTGGTGAATAAACGTCGAATATCGAAGTGTTTCAAGAAACAGATTAGGATGTGTATCTACCAAAGGACAGTCCCTCAAGAAATGCCAGCCGAGAGTGCTGTGTTGGTGCGGGCAAAGCGACGAGACACTATGTCATGCCTGCACGAAGGAGGCGTGGCAGACCTAAGTAGCCATAGAATCGAGGCGGGGTAACCACGGCCTCGTGCGACATACTATACCTTCCATGCGCACATCTTGCAGTATTATCGCTGATCCACAGTTTGATTGGACACATCCGACAAGGGTCGGGATCGAGGAAGGGGCTGAAGTGTGGTATGCCATCGAGTTGTAGGGGCGCGCAAGATCAAGCTTGAGAAGGACCGAACCGTGCCACATACTGGGTGGCCTACAGTACTGTAGATAGGCTTCTGGATATTGAGACTGGTCGCCTTCTCGTCGCCTCGATCTGTGCGCGTTGTTGCCAAGATTGAATGTAGAGGTTATCTCATGGGCTCGTGCTTGTTGCGAGGATTCGCAGCGTCATGGACGTTAGTTGCATGTTCGAGAGCTTCGGCAGAGAGGACACTGTCTTCACTAATAGTGATGCGGGCTGCTGTAAGGTCTGGTCGGCTGAAGAATAACACTGCACTGATGAAGATGCATCGATGAAGAAGCAGACGCGCCTTGCCCTGAGTCCTAGGTGCGCTATCGATAAGCCCGCAGCACGTGCCACCGCGACCCTCGGTTTTCGGCGCAAACCATCATCGCAACCTAAACATTTCTGCCTCCAACCCTCACACCACACCAAACCACACCTCATATCTCACACCCTCCCTCCACTTTACCCACCGTCCACCCCCTCTTGCAACCAAATCTCACCCACGCAACACCACCGCGAAAATGTCCACGGCCTACAACCCCCAGCAAACCACGGACCCAGCAACCGTCAGCCAAATCGACGCAACGGCGCGCACTGTGCACTACAAGTGCGGCGACTGCGACATGGACGTTCCGCTCAAGCGCGGAGAGCCGATTCGGTGCAGGAACTGTGGGCATCGTGTGCTTTATAAGCAGAGGACGAACCGGTAAGTGCGATTCCAGTTTTGCGGGAGGAGGGATAAGAGATATGCAGGGAGAGGGCAAACGATGTGTTTTGGGAAGAGGAGAGGGCAAAAGTGCGGATGCGTGCGTTCCAGCGCATGCGCATACAGAGCGAGAAGAGCGCGAAAGAGGAGACAAGAATGCGTCGATCGCGCTACAGCACAAAGACGAAAACCATACAGCAGTGTCTACACGAATAACCTCACTAACACAACATCCAGTATGGTCCAATTCGAAGCCCGATGAACGCGCACCTCCCCCAACTCTTCCAACGAAACAACACCACACGGCGGGACGGCGAAGCGGCGACACGGACGAAATTCCAGCGATCTCGGTACATCAATATCAGCACGCACAGCGGGGATAAGAGATCCAGCGACGGAGCTTTTCACACATGACAGCGACATTTGCACATGGAGGAACTTAAGCGAGAGGAGATATGTCAACTTGGCATCTCAGGAGCATTAGTACAGGAGTTTCAATTCGGATATTTGGCCGCAAGTTGCATGTCACATGTAGTAATAGCAGCAATTCTCAAACCTCAACCATCACAAGCACATCAGCCACCATGACTATTATCACACGCTTCATTCTTCTTTCTTTGACGTGACCTTCAACCCTAGTAACAGAGGATCAAGGAACAGAGGATCAAGAAAACCTTTACCAGCCATTACTCCATTCACGCGCTGTGCGCAAAGGTTTATGTAGTATATGGTTATGATATGATGTGACAGTGGTGCGTGCCAGCCAGGACACTTTCCTTCCCATTCAGGCTTCATGCTATCAAAAGGGAACGGCAGATAGACGACGGTAAGAGAGAGTTCTCGACCCCAGGAATCCTGACCACTCCTCCCTTAACACCCCCATCCCTCTTCCTTAATCAACCCACCAAGCTAAATACCAATCTACGACCCGCGGAACGCGTCAAAGCGCTTATACGTGTACCCAATAAAGGGCAGACTGGTTGCATACTCGTCTTCGTTTGCCTGTGCGGCCTGCGCCCTGTGAGCAGCCGAGGTATCATTCTGGTCAATCTCGTCGATGGGGAAGTATTGAGTATCAATGTTGGACTGCAATTTGGGTTCAAAGGGCGCGCGGATACGGCGGAGACCGTCCCAGGAGACGCCGCGGAAGAAGGGGTGCTGTTTGATTTCGTTGGCGCCGCCAATGCGACCGAGGCGGTGTTCGGCGTCACAGATGAGCCTGGGCAAGTTAGTTAGTCACTGGGATGATTGGGGAGGTAGTGTGAGATAGAGGCGCTTACCGTCGGACAAAGTCTTCAGCTTCGGCGCCGAGTTGCTGGTCGGGAGGGAAGTGCAGGTTACGCGGCCAGTCGACAATCTTGCGGTACGTGTCGTGTGGCTCCTCAGCGCAGAACGGCGGCCAGCCGATCAGACACTCGAACATGATTGTGCCTACCGACCACCAATCACAGCTGTAGTCGTAACCTTGGCCGCTGAAGATCTCCGGCGCGATGTAGTCGGGTGTACCGACGGTCGAGTAGGCGAGCTGTCGACGAGACTTACGCCATGTGTTGATTTGGGTACGGTTGCTGACAGTCAGTTGAATCTGGTCGAGGTTCATTGATTGTCGGTTGTCGCGGTTCGACTTGTGTGCGCCGCCGGCGAGCAGCTTCTTGTAGTAGTTGGCGTCGTGCTCCTTGTGGAAGCCTGTCGACAGACCGAAATCTGTCAACTTGATGTGGCCGCCTCGGTCGAGAAGGATGTTGTCGGGCTTGATGTCACTGGAAGAGTTAGGAGTTTATCTTGGTGTCGCTACTAAACACATACCGGTGTATGAAACCAAGCTTGTGAACAGCCTCTATCGCAAGCGTGATCTCGGCCATGTAGAAACGTGTAATGTCTTCAGTGAAGATTTCGTACTTGATCAGCATCGTCATCAAGTCACCACCTGGCAGGAACTCCATAAGCATGTAAAGGAAGGTGTTGTCCTGGAAGGTTGTGTGCAGCTTGACAACCCATGGACTGTCGGATTCTGCGAGAATGTCACGTTCTGACCGTACGTGGGCCAACTGGTCTTTCTTGAACTGTGGCGTGTGAGCTTAATGCTGCAGGTGGATATCGAACGAGGACTGCCTACCATCTCCTGCTTCACAAGCGACTTGAGCGCGTAGATCTTGCCGTCGTTGCGCCGTTGCACCAGCTTGACCTCTCCGAAAGCACCCTTGCCGATAATCTTCAGTGTCGAGAAGTTTTCGGGCTTCTCCTTTGTCCGCAGGAACCGCAGGTATTCGACTTCGGCACGGCGCATGCTGTCCTCCTTGGACCGTTTCCGGCTGTCGGAGATGGACGTCTCCTTCATAAGGGCATCGAGTTCGAGAGCCCTGTAGCAAGGTCAGTAGTGCTCAACTAAACGTCCAGAAATCCCACCTTTGGTTTCGGTCGCGAGCCCGCTGGACACTGTCCTTGAAGAATGTATTGATGAGACTCTTGGACACCATAGCCTGCTTGTCTACATTCTCCGTGTACTTG